CCCCAGCCCTGGACCCCAGCCCGGGCCTCCCCGCCAAGCCCCGAGAGCGTGCAGCCCCGCCCGGACTCCCTCCCGCTCACACCCGGGAAATCACTAGGATGCCGGGGTGCAGAGGAGGTGGGGTCTGCTTCTTCTGGATCCCTGAGTGGGAGCTGGCGCGCTCAGGGTCACCCCGAAAACCAGGTCCTGGGCATGAAGGGGAGAGAGTGGAAGTCACCCCGGAGACAAAAGGAAAGGGCCACTGACAGAACTGTAGACCAGGGGGACGGACACCCTGGGGTTGGTGGGGGTCCTGGTCCAGCTCAGGGACCGGCTCCAGAACAGGTACTTTGGTGGAATAAATAAAATCATCAACTAATAAATACTATATAATTTTATTAACCAATGTCGTCCAATAAATTCAACAAACATTTAAAAGAAAAGCAATAAATAGATGTGTGAGAAGGTAGAGGGAGCCCCAGAGGGCTTGGGGCAATGGGGCTGTACTGGAAACCACTCCCCTGTCCCAGGGGTTTGTTGGAGGCGGGGACAGAAAGGAAGTGAAGAGGGCCTCCCCCTGGGATGGTACCTAAGGGTGACCCGCCAGGGCGGGACAATGGCAGGCGGGCCTGGTGGAGCCATGTGAAGGTGGAAGGTGAGCAAAGGGGGTTAAGGGGAATGGATTTTTGCTTGTTTGTTTGTTTTGTTTTCTAGTATGAAAATATTTATCTTCCTCAAAGATGTAACTGAGAATAAACGTGCATCTTTCGGAAGTGTCTGTGCATTTGACACGACTGTGTGGCTGTTTAAGCTCACAAGATGCCATCACCCCTGCCTTCCTGCAGACCCACTAGGATGAGCAGAGGCTCATCTCAGAGGAGACTGGACGTTGGAGTGCAGCGGCCGGGCCAGGGGTGGGTGTGAGACAGCCCCAGGCACCAGGCCTGTTAAAGGAAGGTGGCCCTTGATGGGGAGGCTGACACTAGGGTCCCACAAGGAGGGGCTTTCTGGGGTCAGATCAGTTGGAAGATGAAAGAGGCTCTTTGGTAGGTGGTGAGCTCCCCGTCATGTGGTGTGTGAGCAGATGGTCAGCTGGAGCCAAAGAGTCCCTCTGGTTCTTGGGTCCTTGATTCTTGCTGACCCACTGTTTCTGTGGCTCTGGCTCAGGCAGACTCTTCTGGGCTTGAAGGGCCCCATTTCTCCAGACTCAGCCCCCCCCACAGCATCCCCAGGCCTCTCCCACCTGGACAGTCTCACCAGCTTCCTTCCTGACTTCCCAGGATTGCCCACCAGCCTCTTCCATTCTGGCGTTCAACTCCCAGCCTTCAACATGAGCCTCCCCTCCTCTAACACTGGTCCTATCTCCCTTTGCTTCCCTGTCAAGATTCAGGAATAAAGTCCTCATAGTTTCCCATCCTCTCCCAACGCTGCACGCCTCCCTTCTGTCCTGTCCTCCACCCTGTAGGGTGTCTCAGAGGGTGGGCTGGCCCCACCCTTCATCTCGGGATGCTACTGCCAGATATGGAGGCAGCCCTGTGGGCAGACAGATGCTGACTTCTGGTCAGAATCACCATGTCCCAGCTCAGTGCCCCTCGGAGCCTTAGCTTCCCCATCTGTGAATGAGGATCACTGCTGTCTGGCCTCTCGGGGTTGCTGGGAGCAATTGGGATGATCTACATGGGGCTGCGGGGCACACAGGGGCTGAAACAACAGCCCAGTTCCCTACCACTCTAATGGCCTGCCTGCCTTCATCTCCTGAGTGACCTGCTGGTGCTGGGCCGGGCCTCTGGCCTCCGGCCGATTTCTAGCTCCTGCAGGCGTCATCCCAGGCTGGGACAGGCTGACTCATACACAGGATCGTGGGCACAGCGGCAGTGCCACTCTGCAGTTGCTATTTATAGTTCTCAGGCCAGGCTTTCAGCCTCCAGAGCCAGGGAGGACAGCCTAGAGTCCCCTCCTCATTCTCCCTAGGGCACAGAGGCCAATCTCCACCCAGCACCCAAAACTAGGATGGTAGTACCCCCTCCCCTGTGGCCAGCCAGGACAGCTCAACTCCCAGCCTTCAACATAGGCCATGAGCATAGAGATGTGTGTGGGGGAATCACCAGCTGTGCCTCCTCTGGTACATGAGGTGCAGAGAAGGCAATCGGCTCACCGGAGGTGGCCCAGC